CTGTTAGTAAAAGCAGAACACATTACACATTGTTAGGCACCCTTGTTAACCCATTGATTGCCCCTATATGTTAACCCCCTTCCCAGCCAGTGTCATTAGTACAGTGAGAGTATAGGGTATTATCACTGATCACTTTATTAGTGTCACTGGTGAGTGTCAGTGTCAGTCAGTTCCCACCCAGCGTCAGTTAGTGTCAGATTGCCCGCAACACAATCACAGTCCCACTATAAGTAGCAGATTATTGCCATTACTAGTATAAAGCCAAATAAATAAATAACAATTCCAGTTTATATGCCATTGTTTGTCTACACTATAAGTTTCACACAAACCAATATATCAATCAATAAAAAATCAATATAAACTTATTGGGATTTTTTTTTACCAAAGACATGTAGCAGAATAAATTTTGGCCTAGATTTATGAAGAAATTAGATTTTTTACATTTTTGTATTGTTTTTCATTTATGTAATAAGAAATAAAAAATCCAGTGGTGATCAAATACCATCAAAAGAAAGCTCTATTTGTGTGAAAAAAAAACAATTCATTTGTGTATAGTGTTGCATGACTGTGCAATTGCCCGTTAAAGTAGCCCCATCGCCTAATATCCAAAAAATGCCCCGGTCATAAAGGGGGTAAAACCTTTTGGAGCTTAAAGAGGTCGTAAACCGCAAAAACAAATCTAGATAAACTTCTCCCTGCAATTTAAGAGCATAATGTGCTAGTATGCATCACATACTAGCACATTGTGAAAGACTTACATGAAAAGGAAACCCCCCAGCGCATCTTCACCTGGTCTTCCATCCGGGTTTGCGGGCAGTGGGCGTATACCTGGCTGAGCTGCAATGACATCAATCCCACTCATGTGCGTGAGAGTTTCGGCCACAACACGACTCTCTCAATGGACAGCACGCCATCCATTGAGAGCGTAGTGCACATGCGCCGGTGACATCACCGTCGCTGCTGCAGTAAATATCTCCTAAATGGTGCATGTTTAGGAAATATTTACCGTACCTACAGGTAAGCCATTATTAACCACCCTCCAGAGGATTTACCCCCTTCCTGACCAGGCCATTTTTGTGATACGCTGCTGCATTACTATACCTGACAATTGCACGGTCATGCAACACTGTACATAAATGAAATTTATTTCCTTTTTTCCTACAGATAGAGCTTTCTTTAAGTGGTATATGATCCCCTTTTCTTTTCTTTTTTTTCTTTTTTTGCGCTATAAACAAAAAAAGACCTAAAATTTTGAAAAAAAAAACAATATTTTCTACTTTCTGTTATAAAAAATATCCAGCAAACTCAAAGTTAGTCATAAATTTTGGCCAAAATGTATTTTGCTACATGTCTTTGATAAAAAAAATCCCAATACATGTATATTTATTGGTTTGTGTGAAAGTTATAGCATCTACAACTATGTGATATATATTGGAATTTATGCAGATTTTACTTTCTGAGTGATCACATTTCTCACAAACTTGGACAGCATTTGCTTCCTCTTCCACTGCCCAGTGCTGCCTAGAATAGGCTGAACAGGCATTTTACACAGGGCAAAATTATTGATACAGTTGGATTAGTCAGTATCTCCTCTAGCTTTGTAACATGGCAATGGCTGAGAAAACATAGCCTTGCTGAACTTTGCAGTCTCTATTGGGTCTTTTATATTTCATCCCAGCATATTATAAAAATCCATATTGGTACTATATGCCTAGTTGAAGCTCAGGTATATTTTTCTTTTTTCTATTTTTTTTTAAATAAAAATTGCAGCTCTTGAGGCAATAGTCACCTTATCTTTGAAGCTTTTACATATTCACCCACTTGCAACAAGGTGTAAGTCCCTTTATTGAGTAGTCCCGCCCATGGATTGCTATGGGCTCTTTCTGCTTATTACTCTAGCTGGCAAAGAGTATAGAACCTGGTTGGGTAATGAGCTGGGGGGAGTTAGTGGAAGCCTCAGGGTGAGAAATCATTATTTCTTGAAAGGATGCTGATCACAATGTAGTAGCTTGGTGAAATGCTTCCACCTTTGGGGAAAACATCGGGCTACCCATAAAGGGGAAAGGAAGAATAATGGAGTCATGTTATCGGCACCAAAAATATGGACCAGAGACAGTGAGTAGTTTGCGCGTGCAGCTTCTCCCCTCCTGGTGCTAGGGACTGTACCACTGGTAGAGGAAAGAGGAAGTACTGAACTGTTATGGGAACTGTTGTACCCCCTGTTTTGAGACATTCTGTTTTGTTGTGTTAAAGAAATGCAGCAGATATACCTGATATGGAAGTTGTAAAACAAAGTTTGTTCTACAAACAAGTATGCTGGACTGGTAGCCAATCATGATGTGGGTTCTGTGGGGATGAAGGAAGTTGGGCTGCTTAAGGTGGACATTGCGAAGGAATTAAAGTGGTTGTAAAGGCTCAAGGTTTTTTCTATGTGTAACACCCTATCGCAATACTGCTTGCAGGATGTTACAGTATATGGAAACAAGATGCAGCCCAATTGTACAGACCCTATTGTATAGCTTTGTGTGATACATAGGTTGACTGCAGGACTTTGCTGTTTGACAGCGGGCTAACAAACTACATTTCCCTGAGGAACTGGCACATGGGCAGAGGTAGATAAATACAGAAGGCTGGGAACCTGGGGCAGGAAGTGAGGGGTGAAAGCTGGAGAGCAGGTGTGGAGGAGAAGGCTGTGTGGTACACCAGACAACTAGGCCAGGCTAAGCCACAGAGAGAGAGAAGGGAGAAGGAGAAGCTGCTGACCGCTGACACTGCTGAAGAGGTGGGTGAGCTGTCCCACGGGCCTGTGGTCCAGTGTGCTGCTGTCCGAAGTGATCTATGAAGGAGGAACCACGGAACACTGGGGGCCCCCATCTAAGAGATACCATCAGCTACTGGACCGGTGCCACGGATCGGTTGAGAGAGTTCCATTCTAAAGCCATTCAAGTTGCCAATAACATAACTCAAGTCTGATGCTTTCTGCCTAGTTTAACTGGCACTGTTCGCAACTTACACATGTTAAGGGCCTACTTTACCAGGCCTATTGGTTACTACACTTTCAGCATAATTCAATCACAAGAGCCCACTGCCATGTCTTGCCCTCCGCAAGTTAAGCCACATCATGGCTTCCATTGCAGTTGGCCCACATTCACCAAAGAGCTCCTGCACTGCTGCAGTTTGCCCCTGGGGTCACAAGAGGAAAGAATCCCTGCAGAAAGGGCTTCTGCTCATTCTTTAATCCCTGCCTAAATTTACATCTTACCCTGTGTGTGTTAATGGGGTACCGTCCAGGCTACCTACCACTTAAAGGGGCAGCTACTTTGTTTTGTATTCTTTTGCTTCAAGAGGAATTTTAATTCTTAAAGTGCACCAACTTGGGCCCCATTGAGAATGCAGAAGATATTATACTGTAGTTTAAAGGGACAGTGACATACTCAAATCCAGACTTTTTTTTTCTTAACCTCAGAATTGAACCCTGTCACCTTCTTTTGAGAGCCCAAAGTGAGCTGGCTGCTCTGCTTGGTACTTTTTTTTTCTTTTCTCTGTCTGGAGAAAGACATCTCAGGACTGGGGTTACTGGCTAAATTCTGAATTGCAGAACTTCCATAACTAATTGAGATTTTGCTGAGTTTTACTTTTGCTTGAAATTACTCAAAGTGATAGCTGTTATTTCATGCACAAATGTTTCTGTTGTCTACTGTGCTTACATTTGATCTCAATACAACCAAGATATCAGTTCACTCTAAACTGTCTGTGAGCCTAATTTGTGGTTGCAGCCAGATGGTTCCTCTGACTGGAGGTTTAAGTTGGTGTCAGCATGAGTTGGGCTTAATTTGGTTATAGCTTTTTTCAGATTCGCTGACATTCATTACTATGTCCATTTGGAGATTCGTATAGATCTGAATCTTCAAAAATCAAATTTTCATCTGAAAATCAATTTGTTACAACACAAAACACACGTCTACTGAGCCTATTAACTTGAGGATGGAAGTTAGGAAGAAAAGAAACAGACAATTCAAATATAATATATTTTTCAGACTTTTGCTATGATCACATTCATTTTACAGTATATTATTTTCCCATGTAAGAAGTTTTCTGTCTTTTCCATGAATCAGTTAGGAGCTGACATCACAGCATACTTAATAATTAGTTCCAACAGCTGTTCATAAGACCTTATTATCCTCAAATCCCTCTCACATATTTGATATTTAGAAAGTGGTGCACACATTCTGCTATTGTGCACTGTTACTTGTCTGCTAACACCATATCAAGTGGTTTTCTTGCCAAGAATAGCCTATTGAAATATTCCTAAGCTTTAATTACCTAACCTAATACCTTTGATTTACTTAGTACCTTCCCCATTCTTAGTCAAACTGTCTAAAAGAGTGGAGAAATTAAACAGAAAAGGGTGTTCAGGGTGGTGATTTATGAACGCCACATGTTTGATGTGAAAAAAAGTATCCTAAAAACATCTAAATGATAAAACAAAGATCAATAAATACATAACAAAAACTTAATGAATATCGTATAGGGATTTCAAGGCAATAGTTAGGGATAGGTATTTATAGATCTTAGCTCTGTGTTGTGAAATTGGTTGTAGTACGTACAGTATGGAAGACATTTACTAACATTGGTGCACGCAAAATCTGGTGCAGCTTTGCATGCTAGCAATCAGCTTCTAACTTCAACTTGTTGAATTAAGCTTTACAATAAAACCTGGAAGCTGATTGGTTTCTATGCAGAGTTGCATCAGATTTTGCACTTTCCAGTTTTAATAAATAATCTCCTATGTGTCAAGTATATTTTATTGTCATTTGTAAATATAACAGAGTTAAACTTATGATACCACAAGGGCATTTTAATGTGTCATTGCTTAACATATTACATGTATATCTAAAGTCTTGAAATCTGTTTGGCAAGAATTATTTTTTAAACAACCTCGTAGTTGGTAGTTTTGTAAAACAGCAGTGCAGAGTAGTACAAAAATGTAATACATCTACCTGTTAAAACTTCTGTAGTCGGGAGGCAGCATCTTATCCCCTGGTGTGGGCATCTTGGAGTACAAGGATTCCAGTAGTTCTGGTTCATTAACAATAGCTTCTTCCCAAGGAGACATATAGTATTTAGGAACTGCTGTCTCATTAAATTTTTCTGGTGGCACTTCTGTAAGTGGACCAGTGTATCCTAGATATGTGAGAAAGAAGGTATCAGAAAACCATGACATTCCCAAACCCCTGTATTTTAACAATATAATTAGCAATAGTCTACATAAAAGAACATACATGCTGTATAGTCATTCTAATTTCTAACGTGTCAAGTGTGTCTATGGACACCTTCAAATTAGAACAGGACTGAGATTTTCCAGCTGCACACCAGATGGTATTTGGAATGTGAATCTGCTGGGGGTGCTTCAGTGATCATATAGATGGTGTCATGGAAGAACAGAAGTAATGTATGACATCCATACTGTGTGACAAAGGTCGCTCTGAGTGGCCCTGAAACATTGCTATTTTCCATGATGACCTAATAAAGTTCCATTGAGCGAGGGATTGGTGTGCTGGTGACGCCTTGCTTCAGAATAGAACACAATCCCCCAGTCTATCCCTTTCAGGTGTAAAAGTCAGTGAGCAGAGTTGGACTTCTCCAGCTGGCATGTGCAACCTAATGCAGACCATACATGGGTCGAATTCCAAAATAATTTTCTTTAGGAAACCATTGATTTCGAAACTTGGCCAACCAGACCTTCAATTTCACCTCATGTTGCTACAGAAAAGAATTTTTATGGCTAAGAATCTTCTTTTCTTTCCAGGTCACAGCTCATGCTCATTTTTTTAAAATTATATTTCCCGCATGATTTTCTCATCAGTGATTAGAAATTCATTCATTTTTCAAAATGCCAGATCACTCAAATTCAATGGCCTCACAAAAATCATCTGATGCCGCGGCCCACTGATGGTGTGAAATTCGAACGAAAATTCTTAGGTACCATTTTCGGAATTCGACCCATGTATGGCCTGCGTTACATGATCTTATGCTTCAGCCAGCTGTATACACACAACTCTTACTAAGAATGGTCTGTGGAGATTGCTCATGTAGCATTTTACTGACTAATAGGAATAATGAATGGGTAGAACAAACAAAATGGGCATTCAAACGTATCTGTACATTATGTGCTGCCTAATATGCAATCAGCTTGTAACAGCTCTTTTTTTGCCACCAATGTAGGCATCAGTGAAAAAAACTGTATGATTGTTAATGAAAATAGTTGTGTTGTATGCAATTAAATTATGAAAAAAAATAATAATAATGTAGTTACTATCTTTTCTACTGTAATGCCTGACGTCATATCATATCTGCATCACTGCATGTGGGTTCAGCATTGGCTATGACTATGGAATTATATAACTGTAATCAGTATCATCTGGTTTGTATTCAGGAGAGATTTATCCTATTGTCATTATCTTTTGATCCTATAGAAAGCTATTAAGCTTATTCAATAACTCAAATACAACAGTTCAATAACCATAAAAAAAATCATTATTTTATTTGGTGTGGCTTAACATGGACCTTTAAAAAGATGATACTGTACCTTTTACCATTGCAGCTATTGAGCTCCAGTAGAGACTTTGCTTAGGCTAAGATGAAGTCATTAGTCAGCTGCAGGTAAGAGGAAGCATTTATTTGGACTCCTTTCCCCAGTGACCAGGGCTGGGGTGGGGAGGGTATACAGTAGTCACATTTTCATATTTTCTGAAAATGTGATCTTACATTTTAAGGTATGCATTATATACTCCAAAAACATGCTGGTCTAAATTGGCCCTTGTATATGAATGTGAGTTAGGGACCTTAGACTGTACACCCCTTGAGGGTTAGGAACTGATGTGAATGTACAATATATGTACAGTGCTGCGTAAATTGATGGCGCTATATAAGTACCTGAAATAAATAAAAATAAAATAAATAAAATACCTTCAATGTATTTCTGTTTATAGTACACCTAGAAGAAGTGATAGTATGCATACAGGATAGATAGATAGATAGATAGATAGATAGATAGATAGATAGATAGATAGATAGATGTTAAAGAAAACTCATGTGTCAGATTGTTCAGTATAAAATGAGACATCTGTTCATCCTTTTCATGATCATTGTACACCTACATCCACTGTTTATTTTTATACCTGGCATGAGTATTTTATCTTAGCCCTTTCATATGGAGAGGTAAGTTCTCATTTCTATGACAAGAAGATACAACCGTTAACCGTTTTTCTTAGATTTTCCAACATAAATGATGATTTCTTTTATCTACAATGTTTTTTGAGTTTCATTGTTTGCTGGCATTTTTTACAGTTCTTTTTTAATAGCTGAGTATCACACAGTCTGATTATCCCAAGCGATGGGACTGATCTATGCCAAATATGATCAGCTAAAGACCCTGCAAAGATGCTCAAAATACAATTCAGAGATAGACCACAGTGTTTAACATAGTAAAGTGTACCTGGTGCAATGGTTTCAGGGTTTGGCAGGCTTCGAGGATCTGGAGTGTTAGGAGGTGTCTGTGGAGCTATCTGTTGTGCAGATCCAGATGAAATTCCTTCTGTGTTTCCATTCTGCTGTATCTCACTTTGCTAAATGTAAAAAAAAACAGATGTAATTGGTAACTCAAATAAGTACCAGAACCTAGAACACTCGCATATATACACTGTGTGTGTATATATATATATATATATATATACAGCTGTGTTCAAAGTAATAGCAATGTGTTGAAAAAAGTGAATAAAGCTCAAAATCCTTCTAATAGCTTTTATTTCCATACACACAAATTAATTGGGAACACTACACATTCTATTCCAAATCAAAACATGAAGAAAAATATATCAAATTTGTGTTGTTCCTCTAAAAAAATTGAAGAAAAGTGAATATTAGTCTGTTCAAAAAAATAGCAGTGGCTCTGGAGAAGTCCTGGAGATGAGCATGGGAGGAGGAGACAAGGAAGCTGGAGAGTAGGAGGTCTTGCGAGGAGCATAGAGTATGGTTTGGGTGATATTTAGAGACAAGATCGGTGATGTAATTTGGGGCAGAGTTATAAATGGCTTTATACGTTATTGTTAATGTTTTGAATTTTATCCGTTGGGCAACGGGAAGCCAGTGGAAGGATTGGCAGAGAGGGGTGGCAGATACAGAATGGTTAGTAAGGTGGATAAGTCTGGCAGCAGCATTCATGATAGACTGAAGAGGGGATAGCCTGCGATGAGGTAGGCCAATGAGAAGGGAGTATGTTTGTATTCTTCTTTACAAACTCAAACATTCACTATATAAACTGAAAAATCTTTGAAGATTTTCCTTTCCTTTGAATCACTTAATTAATATTTAGTTGTATAAGCACTGTTTCTGAGAACTGCTGTACATCTGTGTTGCATGGAGTCAACCAACTTCTGGCACCTGTGAACAGGTATTCCAGCCCAGGATGATTGGACTACATTCCACAGTTCTTCTCTATTTTTTGGTTTTGCCTCAGAAAATGCATTTTTGATGTCAACCCACATGTTTTCTATTGGATTAAAATCCGGGGATTGGACTGGCCACTCCATAACATCAATCTTGTTGGTCTGGAACCAAGATGTTGCACATTTACTGGTGTGTTTGGGGTCGTTGTCTTGTTGGAACACACATTTCAAGGTCATTTCCTCTTCAGCATAAGGCAGCGTGACCTCTTCAAGTATTCTTATGTATTCAAACTGATCCATGAACCCTGGTATGCAATAAATAGGCCCAACACCGTAGTATGAGAAACATCCCCATATCATGATGCTTGCGCAACCATGCTTCACTGTCTTCACAGTGTACTGTGGCTTGAATTCAGTGTTTGGGGGTAGTCTGACAAACTGTCTCCGGCCACTAGACCCAAAAAGAACAATCTTACTTTCATCAGTCCACAAAATGTTGCGCCATTTCTCTTTAGACCAGTCAATGTGCTCTTTGGCAAATTGTAACCTCTTCAGCACATGTCTTTTTTTCAATAGTGGGACTTTGCGGGGGCTTCTTGCAGATAGCTTGGCTTCACATAGGTGTCCTCTAATTGTAACAGTACTCACAGGTAACTTTAGACCTTCTTTGATCTTCCTGGAGCTGATTGTTGGCTGAGTCCTTGCCATTTTGGCTATTCTTCTATCCATTCGAATGGTAGTTATTCGCTTTCTTCCACACTGCTATTATTTTGAACATGCCCCTTTCAATTAGTGATTCAATTACACAGAATCAGCAGCATGCATGTCCTGACTGTTGGGTCTTCTGGATTTCTATTACTGTACTACACCTGCTAGTAAATTATTTGCCATGTAGAAATATAATTTCTACTAAAAACAGTGATTGATCAGGCTAGTGATGTCTGACTGCTATTATTTTGAACACAACTATATATATATTGATGTCAGTACTGTGCAAACGTTTTAGGCAGGTATGAAAGAATGCTTTCAAAAATATAAATTATAACAGTTTGTTTTGATCAATTTACAAAATACAAACTGAGTGAACAGAAGAAACTAAAACTAAATCAAATCAATATTTGGGGTGACTACCCTTTGGCTTCAAACCAGCATCAATTCTTACACTTGCACAAAGTCTGGGATTTTGTAGGATTAGAGTTAGATGCATGATTATCCAATTATACCAGGCAGGTGCTAATGAGCATCAGTTTCATTTGTAGGTTGAAACACAGTCATAAGCTAAAACAGAAACAGCTGTGTAGGAGGCTTAAAACTGAGAAAGGAACAGGCAAACTCTGCTATTAAGATGTGGCTGTGGAAGACAGTTTCATGTCACAGGTCATATACAGTGACAAGTCTGAGCACAATAAGACACAAGGTAGTTATACTGCATCAGTAGATGCAGTGGCCGGCCAAGGAAACTTAATGCAGCAGATGAAAGACACATCATGTTTACGTCCCTTCAACATCTGAAGATGTCCAACAGTGCCATCAACACAGAACTGGTAGAAAACAGTGGGACCCAGGTACACCCATCTACTGTCTGGAGGAGTCTGGCCAGAAGTGGTCTTCACAGGAGAATTGCAGCCAAAAAAGCCATACTTCCAACGTGGAAACAAGGCTAAGCGACTCAACTATGCACAAAAACATATAAACTGGTGTGCAGACAAATGGCAGCAGGTGCTCTGGACTGATAAGTCAAAATGTGAAATATCCAGCTGTAGTAGGAGGCTGGAGATTGGTACAATAATGAGTGTCTGCAGGCAATAGTGAAGCATGGTGGAGGTTCCTTGCTGCATGGGCTGCATTTCTGCAAATGGAGTTGGAGATCTGGTCAGGGTCAATGGTGTCCCCAATGCTGAGAAATACAGGCAGGTACTTATCCATCATGCCATGCCATTAGGGAGGCTTGTGATTGGCCCCAAATGTATTCTGCATCAGAACAATGACCCCAAACATACAGACAATGTCATTGAAAAGTATCTTCAGAGTAAAAAAAAACATTGAGTCCTGGAAGTGATGGTTTGGCCCCCACAGAGCCGTGATCTCAACATCATCAAGTCTGTCTGGGTTTACATGAAGAAGGAATATATAGAAGGATGTGAGGCAGCCTACATCCACAGGAGATTTGTGGTTAGTTCTCCAGTTCCTTCAAAAACTCTGTGCACATGTACCTAGAAGAATTGATACTGTTTTGAAAGCAAAGGGTGGTCACACCAAATAGTGATTTGATTTGGATTTCTCTTCTGTTCATTTACTTTGAGGTGAGGAGGCCCAGATCTGCATGTTTGAGGCTGGGCATGGTGACTAGGGCAACCCTCAAATGTGGCAGAGCCTGGGGGGAGGCATGTAGAGTTAGGTGGAAGATGGATTGAGGAAGGCTGGAGTGAGGAGCTTGGGAGGGGGCCCCAGGGAGGAGAACCTACCTACAGGCAGGTCGCTGGAGAAGAGGATCTTCACTGCCTCAACGTCTTCTGGGGAGAACAGATTGTGCAGCAGGGAAGGAGCCAGCCCAGCGTAAAGCCTGAAGGTAGCCACCAAACCCAATAAACCAACAGGAGAGGACAGTGTGAGTGCTCTTACACCCCCTGGGCCAGATAATGGGAGAGGGCAGTCAGGTGAAAGACCAAACTAGCTTCTCATCTGGGACTGTTCAATCAGCAGCTCTTGGGCCCCCTTGCTCAAGGATACCCTCAACCAGCTGGGTGAAGAGAAGGAATCATCCAGGGTCTGAGGAGGTACACCTAAGAGACTTTTCCAGAAAAGATGGTTGCTGATCCGTATCTTTGTACATAGTTGCTAAGGAGTGGTCCTCAAGTTATACAGTTCTTCCGGCATCCCATATACCCCTAGACCCTATCCAAGTTTACCCCTTGATAAAATGACAAAATCAAGCTCAAGCACTGTTTACTGACTGTGCTGAGCATAGGGGGACCCAATTCAAATCTAGGGCCCTTACGAGGGTAGTGCTACACAAGCATACAAAAAATAAAGAAATAAACAGATGGGTTTTTTTTTTAATCTTTTACCACTCTATCCATAACTAAGAAAAAAAGTGCTGGTTTTACATACGCTTTAATTTTCAGAACCTGTATAAAAGTGTTGGAATTGCAAGCTTATACCAGATCATAATGTAAACTGGTTTCCCCCAATTAAAAAACATGAGTAGATTCTGAGATATGTGCTCATTCCTTTCAATCGTATACATATTATGTACTGTAGATGGGCGTTGTGTGTTTTGATTTTACAGTGTCATGCTACAAACGTGTCCTGTGGTCAATTCATTTTGGGAATTTCAAGAATGTATTACCCGTGCAGAGTCTACAAGACTGGTTGCTGTTAATGTCATGTCACTAGCTGCAGTGTGATATTTTTGTACATAGTGTTTTAAAAACAACCTGTACTGGCACTTCTACCTATTATTCCTTCTGAAGAATTCATGCATGTATGTTTACAGGTTAGCAGTCATGAAAAATAGGAGTGAGAGGTGCTGAGAGTATGAATAATCTCAATAGACTGTTTATCTTCCTTGTGGTAATTCCAATTATGTCAGTGTATGCTGTAACTTCTGGGATGAGTGTTGCCTTTTATGTTATATAACAACAGTAACCAGGTACATCTGTTCATGAGACGGAAGAATATGCTCATTATCTCTTGGCTTTTAGTAGACATAATGTTCAGTATTCCATGATGAGGCATGTTGAGAGTCAGTTCGGTCAGAGGTGTAACCTTTTATAGCGGAGCCACCAGGAAAACCATTTGGACCCCCTACTAACTAGCTTCCCCACCTCTGTCTTAAAGCTTATACTATTCTGCTTCAATAGGCAACACTACAGCATGTGCTATGCTTTCATAGAATCAATAAAGATGTGTTTGAACAATAGCTGTTATATGATCACTTATAAAGAAGGTGATGGGACATCCAGAATTCTAGAGCTGTCCTCAGAACAAGAAAAAATGGGAAATCTTCCAATGTGGCCACCTGTTTCAGGGACAAGGAGAATTTCCCTAATTTTGGCTACAATGGAATGGTTTAGATCAGTGGTCTCCAAACTGTTGCCCAGAGCACCAGATGTGACCCTTTGCTTGCTTTTATCCGGCCCTTGGAGCACTGTTTTATCCACTGATAC